AAAAAAAGGCCCCATGGTTGGGCCATGGCCGAGATGTCTCGGCCACACCCCAAATTGGGCCATGGCCGAGATGTCTCGGCCACACTCCAAATTGGCCACGCCCAACATGTCTCGGCCACACCCCAGATTGTCCACGGCCGCGAAAAAAAAAAAAAAAAAAAAAAAGGAAACTGTGCTACAACCACCCTTTTCAAACTTGGGGCCTGATGTTACCGCCTTCTGATGTTATGACTGCCTTTCCGAACTACGGCCATTTTTTGGTTGCCCATTATTGTGTTTTTGGCCCTTTTGAACTTCGTTTGTGACACAAACGTACTTGCCCCTTTTTTTTTCTTTTTTTTTTTTAAAGTCCAGGGTGTTATAGAGGTTAGTCACTGAGTGCACAGTGATCACTTGGAGCTGTGAGCCACGGGTGTCCTGGAATATGAGACCACCTCCCGTCCCATCCTCAGGTCAATACTCCTAGCGCACCCCCTATCCCACTATCCTACCTCAGTGTGACCAGCACTCAGGACCATTGCCCTTACCAATGGAGTAGGCAACTTGGACCGAACAGCAGTGATAGGCACCAGGGCTGATAAGCCGCCCAGCCCTGGTGGAAGCGGAATTGGTTGAACCTTGTCGAACGGGAACTTCGGACGCCAGGCCCTGACAATCTACCACAGGTCCCAATATATGCCCACCAGACAGTTCAATCTGAATGTCAGTAGGAACTGCACCCAATGGCACCCTATCCAACCAACCTGAACCTACTGCAACTTGTAGACCCTATCCAGTGACTAGACCCCCCCAGGCTGATTAATTTGTATGTATGACAGTAGCCTGTAGGCGATGTGTAGTTCCATGTTATGTCCGAAGGCTATATCTATGTGTACATAGCCCGTAGGCGATATATAGTTCTATGTTATGTCCGAAGGCTATGTGTGCATCCTGTGTGGAAACTTTGTATATGTAGCCCGTAGGCTATGTGTAGTTCAATGTTAGCCCGTAGGCGATATATAGTTCTATGTCATGTCCGAAGGCTATGTGTGCATCCTTGTGTGGAAACTTTGTATATGTAACCCGTAGGCTATGTGTAATACTACGTTATGTCCGAAGGCTATATATCTGTGTATGTAGCCCATAGGCGATATATAGTTCTATGTATGTAGCCATAGGTGATATATAGTTCTATGTTATGTCCGAAGGCTCTGTGTGCACTGTGAATCTGAGAGTGTAGGCCGTAGGTGAGAACGGGGTAAGCTGGACAGGGACCCCCCCAAAGTCCGAACCAAGCTCGAACCCGTGACCTTATAGCATGTAATCGAATGGCTCTACCATATGAGCGACCAGTCGAAATGACACGAACGTGTGATATGCCAGACTGCGGAGATCAACAGAACACCCAAGACCAACACCCCCAAGCAACCCATGTGAAACCCAGAACCAACATACAACACCGCGAACAACCCTTGGGTGGTGCGCAGGCAGTGTCTGTGTTCGCAGGCAGTGTCTGTAATAGCTAACCTGCGTCATCCCAAGGGGGTGTGTGTCCAGCCATGCATCATTCTAACGCCCTGCCGGTGTCCATGCGCAGCGCTGCGGATTTGAACCCGCAACCTCATACCACAATGGGCATTTCCAACCGGTGCTCTAACCACTGAGCTACATCAGGCCCGCCTTTTACGGGCAGAAGGAAGAGCTCCCTTGGGCCTGGCTACAGTACTCCACACATGTATCTTTCCATATTCTTGCGGAGGCCCGCCTCTTACGGGCAAGAGCTCCGTTGGGCCTGGCTACAGTACTCCACACATGTATCTTTCCCTATTCTTCCGGAGGATTCAGTCTCATTTTGCACATTTGGAGAGCAGTGGAGCACGAGCAACTCTCCAAATGTGCAAAGTGAGACTGAATCCTCCGCTGGAACATGGAAAGGTACACCGCAATATTTTTGCCCTTGTGCATGTGGAGAGCAGTGGAGCCACACCCAAAGAAAACGTTTGGCTGGTCCTTGCTCCACTACTCTCCCCGTGGAAAGGAAAGTACAATAACGTATCGGAGGACGTATCGGAGGATTCAGTCTCATTTTGCAATTTTAGAGAGTAGTGGAGCGAGGCCCTTTATCTTCCCTCCCTGCACTGCTCTCCTAACATGCAAAGTGAGACCGAATCCTCCGCTGGAACCTGGAAAGATACATTTTCATTGTTTATGGGGAATAGTGGAGCGAAGCCCTTTATCAGCCAGCCTGCCCGCCGTGAGAGGAGGGCCTCTGGCAACACTGAAGGGCGTTTTTCTCACTCCTTTTGCCCGCCAAGTGCCAGCTACGATTTTTTTTTTTTTTTTTTTTTTTTTTTTTTTCAGCAGTTCTCTCGTTTGCATTTGTCACGTGGTTTCTACATTTTCCAGAAAGCCTGTGTTTGGGTATTTGGGCATGGTTTATAGTGCGCCGAGTCTCATCTCATCACATAGGGCCTCGCTGCACTACTCTTGAAATGTGCAAAACGAGAGTGAATCTTCAGCTAGGATGTGGACAGATACACCGCCATGATTTTTGTCTTTTGTGCATTTCAAGAGTAGTGCAGCGAGGCCCATAATCTCATCTTGATGCTGCGTCCATGCATGTGGATGGTATAGACAAAGAGGACAACCTGCAGTCCATTTCCGATTTTCATTGGGCCCAACAGCTTCGTCCCCCATCACACTACCGGGCCTTCCCTGAACCCCGAAAAACACGGCCGTAAACGAGCCGTGTATAAAAAAAAAGGAAAAAAGAACTGGAGGAAACTACCCCTACCAGACAGGACTGCAACTGAGAGCTGGAAAGAAGTGCACAGACAGCCCCTACTTGAGAACAAATGGATCACTTATAAATATGGGCAAGTAATGCGTAGCCCGGACATGCCATAGAGAGCCTGGGTCAAGCACAGGGTGCTAAGAATGAGGGATCTCTAGGATCAATAGGAGAAGAACCGGAAAACAGCACAGCAGCTACTGCACACCGTCTGATACTATCACCAAATTGAGGAACGGCTGGAGGAGCTGATCTTCTCAATTCCCCTGGCGTGCTTCACGATTCTCAGAAAAAAGAGCCAATGCCGATTGAAGATGACTGGATAGCTCTGCATGCAGAAACTAGGAGGGTTGGCAGAATTCATGAGGACGGGCCGGACATCCTAGTGGAATATTTCACAATCACTGGGGCCCCACCATTCAAATGGGTGGAGAAAGGAAGAGTGTTCAGGGTCCTGGTGCTGGGGAAAGGTGAGGAACAGACGGTGTACTGCAGAGAGTCCCCAATATATGAACCCAGAGTCCCCAATATATGAACTACCACTAAACCCAGAGTAATGGAATGGACATCACAAGACGGGCCACTCACTATACCCAGGAAAAGTGAAGACCTGCATAGCGTGGAGGTGAAAAACACATACAGAATGCTGCAAATGATGAAGCACCTAAGAGACGTGATCAATGAGAGGTGGGAGAAACAACTTAACATAGACAGGAACCTCCTTAAGCCTATAAGTTGGTTCAAAAATCCTGCCAAAACCTCATCTTTGCAATTGGGCGGATTGCACACCATTGTCTGCTAACAAATGATTGACTGATCGACCTCGCCAGGCTTGAGCAGAAAGGTGTTGCCGTCCTGTAGTGTAAGTGCTGTCTGCAAGCCTTCCCTTCCCAGAAATCCTGGAAACCGTCGAGCACATCTTCCTACAATGTCCAGGTGCGGTCCTCACCTGGAGATGGTTGGACAGGATATGGAGGTGGACTGTGGAAGGGGGTTGTTGGCCCTGAGATTGGACAGCAATTCTTGGCGGCTACTATCCCCAATCACAAGCCTTTACATTCACGGCCAACCTGTTGAGCCCAGAAGATGGGCGATCTTGCAGCAATTAAATCAGCGCCTCCTGCCCTGGTTCAGGAAGGACCGTCAGACCCCTGGTGGCCCCCAGTGGTTAATGGATGCCTGGATAATGGCTTGTATTGGAATATCACCAGCACCAGCATGATCAGTCTGGAATGTTGAAGGCCATCACGAGGGGAGGGAGGCCCTTGTCCACTAGAGTCAGCACTGCCAAGATCATCAGTTGCAGAATCCGGGCGGTTAATCCTCTGGCGGCGCCCAGAGCCAACAACGCCACCTGAAACCCTTCTGCAATTACAAAGATTGCTGCTTTCAACACTGCTTTAGGTGCCCTCCGAGCAGGCTTAAGAGGCAGACTTACTGATCAAAAGTTACTGTTGTTTTTCTCAAATTTTCAGGAATTCTGGGAAGTCAATCGTAATGGGATGCTGGCCCCAGATTAAAGCATCAGCCGAACTGGGCAGTGGCCCCAGTACGGATAGAATTGTGAGGTAACCAGCCTTGGTTCCGATCCCTGATGATACACGTACATTCTCGAAAAAGAAAAGAAAAGAAAAGAAAAGAAAAGAAAAGAAAAGAAAAGAAAAGAAAAGAAAAGAAAAGAAAAGAAAAGAGAGGTGAAGCTCCAGCGGGATGTCGCCGGCCAACGGCAAGGGTGGCCACAATCAAGCCTCCAGCTTCATCGGACAGACTGGTACCATTCAGACGCTTCAAACAACACAACAGCAGACAATATCGGGAAGAGGACCATCCAATGTGGCCGTAAGGAAGCAATGAGAGGGCAATACTTCACGCTGGTTGGCTGACCAGTACTACAGTTATCATGCAGATCCGGCCGTCCATAAAGACAAGACAGTGTGGAACATATGAAGGGAACGCATCCTGAACACCGTACGGACAAGCAGGAGGAGCATTGTCACGTCAGCATCGTCTATAGGTTCTTCATCTCAAGCAAACATGGCAAGACCGGGAGTGAGAGGAACCCCAGAAGGAAAGGCTATCAGACAGTCAATCCTCCAGGACATGGAGCTGTCAGTACTGTTCACAAGTCCTATGGAGGAAGGAATCATACCTGTGTCCTGTGCCGAAGAAACCAGACTGATACTCTCCAAATGAATACGGAGCCAGCCCATAAGGCCTGTCGGTTTACGGGGAAAGAAAAAAAGGCTACCAGTGCTACGGATATCGCTATGGCAAAGGATGGGATAGCATGAGATGAATGGGGCAAGTCTTTCCAAAGACAAGTCACGAAATTACAGATTGTACTCACTCTGACGCTTCTTGCCATTATGGCTGAGAGACCTTGGTGGCACCTTGATTACTTCCTTTAAGGAGGGTCATTTGTTTTATTTATGGCAGCAACAAAAAACAAAAAGGACGATAACTCAGGAGGCGAAGCATACATCATCACAAGGTTGTTTACGAGCGAGTGCTAGGCTTTCAACAGTGGCTAGTTATAAATTATCAAGAAGAATTGAAGCACATTAACGAGCCTCTCCCAGAGTCAGTCCCCGAATGGGCCATGAACACAGGCCCCTGGCCCCTGCAGCCAGCTTGGTGGGGTCATGCTGGTTTCAAAACGAAAAGCACAATTCAAAATCTAGTCTGTGACATAATGTGACTGGTCGAAGCACAGCTAAAGCCATAAGTTTGACTGCAATGAATCTGTTTCATGAGAAGGTAGAAACCACCCACACTCACTGGTAGTTGCTAGAATAGACGAAGCGAAAGAGAATCCATATTTTGAAATGCTTGCTTTGGACAGTTATTCAAAATTACCCTTTCCTGCTGTCCCTGCACCAAAAGGAATGAGCAAATCAAACTCTTATTCTTCTGTTTAGTCCAGTTTACATCTGGTGACTTTGCCGATGATCCCTGCTCCACTACCATGTAAAAGCTGTGAGAAAAAAGCTTGGCCATCATCCTGATGTCATTGTCGTGCCATCTGTCGTACACTTTGCATCCTCCGTGAAAGTAAAGCCTCGTTCAATGTGTTAATGCAATCAGACTTTTCACTCTACATATTGTTTCTCTTCTGCGTCCTCTTGTCACACTTCAAATTTCTTACCCTCATACTCTTAATCACCGCAATTTTGTGCTTGTACTTCTCGTCATAGCTCTTGTCACCATACTTCTTTTGATCGTCCTGCTGGCTGTTGTGCTGCTGATCAGCATTCCCCTTCTCAGCCCACTTCTTGCCATACCCCCTTTAATCCTGCTTGTCGCCATAGTGCTTGTAGTAATAACCCTTCCTCTCATCCTTCTCGCCATACTTGTCATAGTCTTTAATCTAATACTTGCCATCATGCTTGCCATCATTCTTGCCATCATGCTTGCCATCATACTTTCCATCATACTTTCCATCATACTTGTCATCGTACTTGCCATCATACTTTCCATCATACTTGCCATCATACTTGCCATCATACTTGCCATCATACTTGCCATCATACTTGCCATCGTACTTTCCATCGTACTTGCCGTCATGCTTGCCATCATACTTGCCATAATACTGACTATCATACTTCCCATCATACTTTCCATCATACTTACCATCAAACTGACCATCATACTTACCATAATACTGACCATCATACTTACCATCATACTTGCNATCATACTTCCCATCATACTTTCCATCATACTTACCATCAAACTGACCATCATACTTACCATAATACTGACCATCATACTTACCATCATACTTGCCATCATACTTGCCGTCATACTTGCCATCATACTTGCCATCATACTTGCCATCGTACTTGCCGTCATACTTGCCAACATACTTGCCATAATACTGATCATCATACTTACCATCATACTTACCATACTTACCATCATATGTGCCATAATATTTACCATCATACTTCCCATCATACTTTCCATCATACTTACCATCAAACNTTTACCATCATACTTCCCATCATACTTTCCATCATACTTACCATCAAACTGACCATCATACTTACCATAATACTGACCATCATACTTACCATCATGCTTACCATAATACTGACCATAATACTTACCATGCCTCATGTGATACTTATCATAGTGATCATACTTGTCAAACTTGTAATGTGTTTTATCGTCATCATCATAGTCGTCCTCTCCGAGACCCCTGCTAACAATGTCAGTTTCTGCTTCTGCATTCCTAGCAACCTTAGCCGCCTTTGATAAGGAGGTGCTCTCACTTGTAGTGGCCGCAAGGGACTGAATGAGAAAACCAAGGAGAATTATTCCAAGACATCCTATGGCTGATCCCATCAATCTGGCTTCCCTCCTGATGACTGCCATGATGGCCTCTCGACCTAGCTGAGTAGGAAATGTGCAGTAAAGAGAAGGAGATCCGCTCCGCACCCTAGTTCTGGTTGCAGCAGCTGAGGTGGATGTCAGCTTATTGCAGCACGGAAGGCAAATGCTAAATGCGTTACGCTGCCAATCCCTGGCGAACTGGTGAGGTCGCTGCTGTTTTGTGCAGCATTACAGGTATATATACTCCCCCAAGCTCGGGCTGTGCAAGACCGCCAGTTGAAGCAAGAGGGTCTTCGAAGTAATAACTTGTCTTGTTACATGTCTAATGTCTGTTTGACATTTGAAGCTCGGCCAAGCTGGATTTCAGGCACAAGGAAGTTGTACATACTGTATAAGGGAGGGATAGTGGATGTGTTGTGAACTTTGCTGGAGGGTTGAGTATACACAAATTGCAATTGTGTGAAACAATTCCGAGCAAATTGCTTGCATGATTTATCCATCTCTGTCATTTAACTCAACGATTCAAGAGCTTTTCTGTGCACTGGTGGCCTGGTGAATGAGCATACTGCACCTGTAGGGGCAGTTCAAATCACAGTGCAGCACATAAGGTCACAGGCCCTTATTAGGTGTGACCTGTTCCAAGGCCATTCACATTTGCTGTTAAAAATTTAGAATTTTTGGGGCCGAGCCACTGACCTTTTTGTTTCCAGTCAAAACCGTGTGCTTGCAAAGATTAATATATAAGCTTGTGTAATGAACCAGTCTGGAAGAAAATCGTCAGGTGTCGACAATACAAGATAACTCAGCACTGATCAATGTTCCCAAGAATCATGAAATGTGATCTGTGATACAGTGTTTTGTAACCAGAGGATGAAGGAGGAGAGGGGAAGGCTCTGGCTAACCGCCTCAGGAAAGTTACAGAAGGTTGTTTCCACCTAGATCAAACAGGTTTTATTCTGGGAAGATTTACATTGGATAATGTCATGACTTTATCAGAATCGGTAAGGTACATTACGAATAAGAGGATAAACGCAGTGATCCTCTTCTTCGACTTCGAAGAAGCATATGATCAAGTCAACTAGAACTTTCTACAGCAATGTATGGAGAAGATGGGAGTGGGCCCTAACTTTCGTAAATGGATTCGTGTAGTGTATAATGATGCACAAGGACAAGTCCAAGTTAATGGCCACCTGTCAGGTAGGTATAAGATGACGAGGTCGGTGAGGCAAGGAGACCCATTAGCGGCTCCCATTTTCCTGTTTATAATGGAAGCTATTGCCTCGTTCCTTAGGAAAGACCCTTCAATAGACCGTCTGATTGCTCAACTGGATCAGCAGGGACGTATCACACATTTGCCAACAATGATATTATTTGCGAACGATCTGACGGTATTAGTCAGAGCAACTGACTCTTCATTTCAAGCCCTTACGAGAGCAATGGCGGCATTCCGGATGGCATCGGAGATGAGAATCACCTGGCCGAAGATGCTGGGGGCGTGGCTATCACATGACGATCAACAACCACAGTATCAGCCACATAATTATGGGGGGATGACTTGGTTACCGTCGGATCAGACAATGACATACTTAGGGATCAGAATGGCAGACACGGGTCCCCACCACTCCATGGCGCCTGAACATATGACAAAAATGCTATTAAAGATGGCGGTGTGGTCGGAAATACATACCTCACTGTTCGGGAGGGCACTAGTCATAAATGCTTCAATTTGCTCTATGTTATGGTATGTTGGAACAATATGGTCACCACCTGCATATACACTACAAAAAACCGAGGAAGGTGACGACAACGCATTTGTGGACAAGAAATCCAACAAGATCCAACTTTATATCAAAGGTATCATGGAACCAAGTTATTCAACCAAAGGACAAGGGAGGGCTGGGAGTCTTGGATCCGGGACAGCAGATAAGGCCACTCCAAACTAAGTGGATCATTAAGTTGTTAGCACAACCTCACTTACAGTGGGTCCCATTAGTACTTGACCACATACGATAGATGACCAGATACAAAACACCTTCCAATATGAAGGGTTCATTCTGGCTATTCTGCAAGGGTTGGACTAAGAAGGATAAAACGGGGGAACAATTAGCAGAGGATGATGCAACTAGAGGTACATATTGTGCTCAATTGCTCAAAATCTGGGCGGAGGTCTTCCCGGCAAGGGTAAGACAACCCAAGACGAAGGATGAAGTTCTTAGACAACCGTTATTTTGTAATCCATGGTTAAAAGACTTTCAAGGAAGACCTAGAACACTAACAACAAAGGACGCTAAGTGGGGGAAGTGGTTAGAGCATGGGGTATGGCAGGTAAAACATCTCTGGTCAGGCAGCAGGGGGAGATGGAAAACAGGTAGGGAGTTGAGGGAGGAAATGAAGGGCTGTCATAGACTAACTGAAAACCTGAATGGCATTCTTATCTCGATCCCGGATGAGTGGACAAGGACATTGAAGGAACCAGACAAAAGGGGATGGGAGGATTGGGCAACAATAGCCTCTACTAATGAACCAGAGGTAGCCTTTCACATAAGACAGGAGGTAGGACCTTCTAAACAGTGGTTGGAAGCAGATATGTACACAATACTATCTCCAAGAGTCACGATTAGTATGCTGGATAAGGATTCCAGGGTTCCGATCGCCATTAAGAAAAACATCTTAAGAAAGGTTAGAGTGGTTGAGAATAAAGATTTTACGATATTTGAGCCATTGACATCCATTCAAGACCGTGAAATTGATCCAGCAGAGTGGGTATGGAACATCAGGGGAAGTTCGTCCAGAGTAAGCAGGAGAATTAATATACTTCGGTACCGTCTGAGGGGGAGATCATGCCATCTGGATCAGACTTTGGCGATAAGATGGGAGAAGAGACTGGATATACCACGGGAACAGGTAAAAAGGTTACCATGGTCAACTTTGCACGGTATCAGATTGACCAAGGTCAGGAGCATGCAGTGGCTCATCTATCATGTAGCACTCCCAATCAATGTTTGGCGGTTCGATAAGAGAAGCAGGCTCAATAGGAATGAGTCAGATCAGGACTGTGTTATGTGTATGAGAGGCATTCAGGAAACTCTGATCCATCGCTTACTCCATTGCCCTGAAGCAGAATATCTCTGGTCCATAGCTCGTTCATTGTGGACACATACTACGGAGGTCCCCTTCCCGCGAAACAGGAAACTAATATTGATAGGAAGTGAGGTGCCTAAGGAATGGTGGGCAATCCACAAATATATCTTTCAGATTCTGGAGGGATATGACGCGTCCTGCTCGCGAGGGGGCTAGTTGGCACGACTAGAATAGGGCATAGCAGCAACGGAGATGGTGGCTCCGTTGTGATAAGTCTTGCCGGGGGGGGATTAGAGAGAGTGTTTAGGTGGTCAGGGTGTGTCGAGCGAGACTGGTGCACAAAGGGAGCCGGGCATTTCAAAACCTTGGTCGCCGCGGTGGGTTTCAGCGGATCGTCCGACGGTGGGTTATCGCCACCATGTCCAAGAGTTTAGGGTTGGCTGATGCCAGAGCGACGCTGGCCGGAGCTGGGGTTTGGTTACGCTGCCCTGTAACCTGAGTTATGTGGGGGTTAGAGGCCTGGTAGAGAGATCTGGGGAACTGCCGAGGGTGGAAGGCAGTCCGGTGGCTAACCATGAGATGGTATTAGGACGACGCGGGTCGGAGTTGGGGTGGGTCGCGCTGCCCTGTAACCCGGCTGTTGGGGGTGTGAGGCCTGGTAGAGCTTGGTATCTAGGATATGAGGGTTGAGGCAGCCATAGGTTGGTCGCTTGATTTGCACTGGGGCGACATGGTTTCGGTTATATCGGCTTCCAGATAATCCCAATTGGTTCTTATTTTTCATGAGTAAGTTTGATTTTCTCGATTGCTTCTGGTGGTCTTGAGAATGCTTTAGGATTTTGCGGACTTCTTGCCATTCACTGTAGGCTTCTTTGATGCTGTTATCTTCACATATCTGCGGCGGTTCGATGCCAGAACGACGCTGGCCGTGCTGGGGCGTTGCCTTGTAACCTGTTGATAGCAGAAGCGTGAGGCCTGGTAGAGAGTTCTGGGGATGCTTTGGGGCGGGCATTCTAAGGGACAACCAAGGGTTGTTGTCGGGACGACGCTGGCTTGAGCTGGGGTGAGTCGTGTTGCCCTGTAACCTAGCAGGGTGGGGGCGTGAGGCCTGGGAGAGCACGGCAGGGAAAAGACAGAGTTAGAGAATCCTAGAGGGTTTTGTCAGGAATTCTGGGGGTTCTGAGCATTCAAAGGACTTTTGTGGCTTTCCTTTTGACTTAGTAATTGCTGTCAGAGTTATCCATGTTTCTTCCCAAAAAAAAAAAGACAGAATGCTTTAGGATTTTGGGGACTTCTATCAACTCGCTTTAGGTTGTTTGATACTGGCACATTCATGGATCTGAGGTTGTTCGATGTCAGAACGGCGCTGGCCGGTGCTGGGGTGTTGCCCTGTAACCTGCTGACTGCAGGAGCGTGAGGCCTGGCAGAGAGATCTGGGCATGCCTTGGGGTGGGCATTCCAAGGGACAACCAAGGGTTGCTGTTGGGACGACGCTGGCCGGAGTTGGGGCGAGTCGTGTTGCTCTGTAACCTAGCCGGGTGGGAGTGTGAGGCCTGGGAGAGCTCGACAGGGAATAAGACAGTGTTGGATAGTTTTAGAGAGTTTTGTTTGGGAGTATAGGGGTTCTGAACATTCCAAAAGAGGTTAGTAGTCATTCATACTTTTTCAACCTCGTTTTAATTCTCTTGAATTTCTTCAATAGTAAAAAAAAAAAGAGAGACAGTACACTTTATGCACAATATATGGAAACGAAGATGTCAGCAGGTGGTGGGCAAGTTTCTGACGACTAAAGCGGAAGCCAAGGCAATTCTCTATAGCCTGTTGGAGATAGAGATTAGGGCGTTATGGAGAAGGACAAAGAACCAAGTGGCTCTTAACCCAGAAAGGGCAAAGGATATTTTAACCAAATTCCAGAAAAGGGTACTAGCCCAAGGCATAGTCGCGACCGTAGAAGGAGAGAGACTTATCTTCCATTGGTTCAAACACAAACATCAGGAGGACACTATAGATGATCAGTTGTTGACATAGGAACTTAGGATGCCATAAGAAGTAAAGTGAGGCAAGGCAAGGAAGGATA